CTCCCCCGAACAATGGTTATTTCCGCGCGCGCGCGCGTAATACAGTGCTAGAGAGAGAGACAGAGAGAGAGAGAGAAAGAGAGATCGCATCAAAGCGAACCCGGGCTGGGGAGGATCTTTCATTCCTTCCTTCTCCTCTGCAGGAAAAAAAACATGCAAAACTGTTCAAGTGCACATTTTGATCGAGATACCTCGCCTCACCTTACCTATCTAGTAAAGAGCACCGCCAACCCCTGTCAAAAAAAGATCGTGAAAGATTATGCCCGAGACGTCTAGACAACTGGAAAAACCTAGTGAGCGAGAGAGCTCCTCGGAGAACACATCAAGAGGGGCTGGCCTCTGGAGAAACAGGGACAACAAAAAACCCAGAGACTCCACCCTCCGCAATAAATAACCAGGTAGGTATTCAATGGCTTGCATGCGAATCGGATCGACCAACGCTAAAAAGAACGCCATTCTACACATCTATACTGTCTGGACTGTGTTGGCTGCAAGCTTCCTTCGCCAACAACGATGCTGCATGAACAACGTACTCTCCAACCTCCCACTACTCCCCCCTAGGCCTCGGATTCCCCCTAATCTCCCTCACCACCTCCCTCGTCCTCGCATTATCCTCAAAACTAGCCCCAATCAAATCCAGCACCTCCTCCACCCCAAAATACAAGCTCAGCTCCCCCTCCATCCACAAATACCTCACATCCTTCAAATTGCTCTGCAGCACCTCGCTCAAGTACTTCAACCTCAACCAGCTCCCCGCAAACTGCGCCGTCAACGGCACCTCCCCCTTGCTCGGCAAAAACAAATCATCCAGCTCCTCCACGGAAGCGATGTGCTTCGCAATATTATACGCCTCCTCCTGCCCAATAGACGGCAGATCCATCACATCAGAAACAATCTTCGACGCCAACGCGTCAACCATCGACCCAACCGCCTGCTGCCACACAGATTTCGCCAGGATGGGCTCCCACTCCAGCGCTATCGACCTAACCATCGAGACCGCCGACGCAACGTAGGATTCCGTGTCGTCCAGCTGCAAAAGGTTTTGCTCACCCCCCAACCGATCCCGCAGCATCATCTTTTTGAGACTGAGCTCGTTCGTGTAGGCGCGGTTGGCAAACCCTTGAAGAGCCTTGACGTCGTTGTCTAGTCTCAGCATGTTTTGCGCTCGGGTGCTGATATCATGGCGGGTTTTCCAGGTGGCCGAGAAATCCGCTAGTTTTTCCGATAGCCAGGTTGCGTCATTGTAGAGGAACCTTTTTTTCATGCCGGTTAGGAATGAACAACATAGCAAAAACTGAGTGAGGGGGGTTCAAACTTACATATTCCCACCCTCCTTTGGAGCGTAGTAGTGAGGCGAGATGGCTCTGAATAATGCCAGCGCAAGAGTCGGCACACCGAACAGTCCAGCCGCGGCTGCTGCTACCGGGCTACTCGCGTGCCTGTCCTGGGTCAGAGTCGCACCATCTTCCACAATGGCTGCTATTAGGTCCAAGACAGGTTGT